ATAAAATAAAATGTTATATAAAAAGTTGTAATATGAATGTATATAAATATATTTGCGATGTAAAATGTCAATATGAGCATGTGATTTTAAAATCATTTATATATACAATTACCTAACATAACTACGTTACCTATATTAAAATCATTTAGCATATTTGTAAATAATAAGTATTGCAAATAAAATTAAATAAACAATCTGGAAAAAGTAATAAATAGAAAAGATGAAATTCGATCACTATGTGAAAAACTTGAGCAAATATAACGATATTAGATGTCACTAACACATTGAAATATATTAAATTCAAAATTACGAAAAATAGTATTAGATTAAAAATTACAAAAAATATATATATATATATTTGGAGATGCAGGTTTCAATCCCCCGAATGTTATAATCAAAGCCCGATGATAATACTGTTGAGCTACATCTCCCTTTGTTTTAATACCAACCGATTTTTTTCCTATATGAATGTTTAACATAACTTTAATATAAAAAAATGTGGTGAAAGATTTGAAAAATTAAAGTTTTAAAAAAACATTCACTTTTTTAAGTCTTCGACATTGTTTTTATTTTGAACTAAAATGTAGTTTTAGTGCATTTATATTAATTTGCAGTAATACTTTTTGAAAACAAAATAAAATGTTAAATAAAAAACTGTTATATGCATATATATCTAAATATATTTACAATGTGAAATGTCAATATGAGCATGTGATTTTAAAATCATTTATACTTACAATTACCTAACATATCCACGATACCTATATTAAAATCATTTAGCATACTTGTAAATAAGTATTGCAAATAAAATTAAATAAACAAAGTGAAATATCTAGAAAAACTAATAAATAGAAAGGATGGAATCCGATCATTATGTGAAAAAACTTGAGCAAATATAACGATATTAGATTTCACTTACACATTGAATATATATTAAATTCAAAATTACAAAAAAAGTATTAGATTATAAATTATAAAAATATATATATTTGGAGATGCGGGGTTTCGATCCCCGAATGTCATACTCAATTCCAGATGATAATACCGTTCATCTCCCTTTGTTTTAATACCAACCGATTTTTTTTCCTATATGAATGTTGAATATAAATTTAATATAAAAAAACGTGATGAAAGATTTTAAAAAATAAAGTTTTAAAAAAACAATCACTTTTTTAAGTCTTCGACATTGTTTTTATTTTGAACTAAAATGTATTTTTAGTGCATTTATATTAATTTGCAGTAATAATTTTTCAAAATAAAATAAAATGTTATATAAAAAGTTGTTATATGAATGTATATAAATATATTTGCGATGTAAAATGTCAATATGAGCATGTGATTTTAAAATCATTTATATTTACAATTACCTAACATAACTACGTTACCTATATTAAAATCATTTAGCATATTTGTAAATAATAAGTATTGCAAATAAAATTAAATAAACAAAGTGAAAAATCTAGAAAAAGTAATAAATAGAAAAGATGAATCCGATCATTATGTGAAAAACGTTGAGAAAATATAACGATATTAGATTTCACTTACACATTGAATAAATATTAAATTCAAAATTACAAAAAAAAAATATTAGATTATAAATTACAAAAAAAATATATATTTGGAGATGCGGGGTTTCGATCCCCGAATGTCATACTCACTTCCAGATGATAATACCGTTGAGCTACATCTCCCTTTTATTAATACCAACCGATTTTTTTCCTATATGAATGTTGAACATAAATTTAATTTAAAAAAAATGTGATGAATGATTTTAAAAAATAAAGTTTTAAAAAAACAATCAATTTTTTAAGTCTTCGACATTGTTTTTATTTTGAACTAAAATGTAGTTTTAGTGCATTTATATTAATTTGCAGTAATAATTTTTCAAAATAAAATAAAATGTTATATAAAAAACTGTTATATGCATATATATATAAATATATTTACAATGTGAAATGTCAATAAGAGCATGTGATTTTAAAATCATTTATATTTACAATTACCTAACACATCCACGATACCTATATTAAAATCATTTCGCATACATGTAAATAAGTATTTCAAATACAATTAAATAAACAAAGTGAAAAATCTGGAAAATGTAATAAATAGAAAAGATGGAATCTGATCACTATGTGAAAAACGTTGAGCAAATATAACGATATTAGATTTCACTTACACATTGAATATATATTAAATTCAAAATTACAAAAAAAAATATTAGTTTGTAAATTACAAAAAAAAAAAAAAATTGGAGATGCGGGGGTTCTATCCCCAAATGTCATACTCAAAGCCAAATGAGAATACAGTTGAGCTACATCTCCCTTTGTTTTATACTAAACGATGAATGTTAAACATAAATTTAATATAAAATAATGTGATGAAATATTTTAAAAAATAAAGTTTTAAAAAATCAATCACTTTTTTAAGTCTTCGACATTGTTTTTATTTTCCACTAAAATGTATTTTTAGTGCAATTTATACTAATTTGCAGTAATAATTTTTCAAAATAAAATAAAATGTTATGTAAAAAGTTGTTATATTAATATATATAAATATATTGACGATGTAAAATGTCAATATGAGCATGTGATTTTAAAATCAATTATATTTACAATTACCTAACATATCCACGATACCTATATTAAAATCATTTAGCATACTTGTAAATAAGTATTGCAAATAAAATTAAATAAACAAAGTGAAAAATCTGGAAAAAGTAATAAATAGAAAAGATGAATCCGATCATTATGTGAAAAACGTTGGGAAAATATAACGATATTAGATTTCACATACACATTGAATAAATATTAAATTCAAAATTACAAAAAAAAAAATATTAGATATTAAATTACAAAAAAAATATATATTTGGAGATGCGGGGTTTCGATCCCCGAATGTCATACTCAATTCCAGATGATAATACCGTTGAGCTACATCTCCCTTTCATTAATACCAACCGATTTTTTTCCTATATGCATGTTGAACATAAATTTAATATAAAAAAATGTGATGAATGATTTTAAAAAATAAAGTTTTAAAAAAACAATCATTTTTTTAAGTCTTCGACATTGTTTTTATTTTGAATAAAATGTAGTTTTAGTGCATTTATATTAATTTGCAGTAATAATTTTTAAAAATAAAATAAAATGTTATATAAAAAATTGTTACATGCATATATATAAATATATTTACAATGTGAAATGTCAATATGAGCATGTGATTTTAAAATTATTTATATTTACAATTACCTTGCATATCCACGATACCTATATTAAAATCATTTCGCATACATTAAATAAGTATTTCAAATACAATTAAATAAACAAAGTGAAAAATCTGGAAAATGTAATAAATAGAAAAGATGAAATCTGATCACTATGTGAAAAACGTTGAGCAAATATAACGATATTAGATTTCACTTACACATTAAATATATATTAAATTCAAAATTACAAAAAAAGTATTAGTTTGTAAATTACAAAAAAAAAAAAAAAAAAAAAAAAATTGGAGATGCGGGGGTTCGATCCCCGAATGTCATACTCAAAGCCAAATGAGAATACAGTTGAGCTACATCTCCCTTTGTTTTATACTAAACGATTTTTTCCCTATATGAATGTTAAACATAAATTTAATATAAAATAATGTGATGAAATATTTTAAAAAATAAAGTTTTAAAAAATCAATCACTTTTTTAAGACTTCGACATTGTTTTTATTTTCCACTAAAATGTATTTTTAGTGCAATTTATACTAATTTGCAGTAATAATTTTTCAAAATAAAATAAAATGTTATGTAAAAAGTTGTTATATTAATATATATAAATAAATTGACGATGTAAAATGTCAATATGAGCATGTGATTTTAAAATCATTTATATTTACAATTACCTAACATATCCACGATACCTATATTAAAATCATTTAGCATACTTGTAAATAAGTATTGCAAATAAAATTAAATAAACAAAGTGAAAAATCTGGAAAAAGTAATAAATAGAAAAGATGAATCCGATCATTATGTGAAAAACGTTGAGAAAATATAACGATATTAGATTTCACTTACACATTGAATAAATATTAAATTCAAAATTACAAAAAAAAAAAATATTAGATTATAAATTACAAAAAAAATATATATTTGGAGATGCGGGGTTTTGATCCTCGAATGTCATACTCAATTCCAGATGATAATACCGTTGAGCTACATCTCCCTTTTATTAATACCAACCGATTTTTTTCCTACTAGTGAGCAACCCGTGCGATGCACGGTGAGGCTTGTTCGTCAAAACCTATTTAAAACTTTATTTTTAAATATAATTACTAAAGTTTAAACATTTTATTTTGGCAAAAAATTAGAACAGAGTATGAAAAATCACATATTGTTGAACAGTTCTGGTAACGCAAAACACTCCTATACACTATTTTTTATTTGAATATGTGGCAAACTTTCTTGTCAACAAATTGAAATTTTCAAACAATTGTGTGAAAAAAATTAAATTATAATATATTATTTGTAGTGTAATAAATCGTAATATATTATTTTTAGTGTGATAAAATGTGTTGGGATAACTATGACCATTTGAAAAAATATTTAATAGTAATCTTAAAACTTTAATAAATTTAAAAAGATAAATATGACCAGTTGAAGAAATATTTATTTGTAATCTTAAAATTTTAAATTTTGATAAATGATTATATATATGCGCCATGTTTTTAGGAACCAATCGATCATATAATATAAAATTCTTATATGATTTCCAGAGTCTTACGAACGTGACATGAACTTCATTTTTTAATTTCAAATTTAAACAAATCAAAAGACAAATTATTAGGTAGTTATGAAAAAAAGTATCCAACAAACTATTTTTTAATTTCAAATTTAACAAATCAGATGACAATTATTAGGTAGTTATGAAAATAGTCTCCAACAAACTTCAAATTAAGCGACACACAACCATTAGATCTGGAGTTGGTTGCAGTCGGTGATCACCACCCGTCTCAAGGTCCGGTGGCTCCCCGACCGACATTCTCCACCGCCTTCAATATGTCGTACTCCTCCACCACCTGCCCGAACACCACGTGCTTGTTGTCAAGCCACTTCGTCCTTGTCGTGCAGATGAAAAAGTAAGTGTCATTTGTCCCCGGAACAGTCTTCGCCATCGACAGGTCCCGGTGTGCTTTCTCATGATGTTCTCGTCGGTAAACTTGGCGTCGTAGATCGACTTGCCGTCGTTACCCGCAGTGAAGTCACTGCTCTGACAAATGAAATTGGGGATTATACGATGGAAGGATGACCCTTTGTGGTGGAGGGGCTTGCCAGATTTGCCGACGTCCTTCTCGTTGGTGCATAGGGCGCAAAAGTTCTCGTCGGTCTTCGTGACGACGTCGGCAAAGAGCTCCATCACGATTCCGCGGCGGGGCTAGCTGCTGATTGTTATGTCGAAGTAAACCCTAGGATCCGATAGGTTGATTTGAATTTTTTATTTAGGAGTTTTTTGTGATTTTTTTTATTTGTGACTAACTGATTTTTTTTTTTTGGTCTCAAACTTAGGGTTTTGTAATTGGGTGGGGAGGGGTTTATATAAGGGATCGATTGAGTGCAAACTTTAAAAAGATGGATTCTTTCTAAACTTTAAAAAGATATTGTAGTTAGATAAATATGAATAAAAAAGTATTACCAGAAATTCACATAATATGAGATTCTTTCCAAACTTGAAAAAGATTTTGTAGTTTAATAGATATGGACAAAAAAATACCCATAGATAGAGATTTACCAGGATTTTCAAACCTTTTTTTGTATATATATATATATATATATATATATAAATCAATTTGTGCTTTGGGTGGGAATTTACAGGTTTTTTTAATAAATTCATTATCAGTGAAAACGAAAATTTAGGCGGGATTTTACATACTATTCACAGCTAAATGTTTTGCCTTTTTATATATTCATAGATATATATTTAAGTTGTGAATTTTTTATATTATATGATTATATGGCTAAGAATATGTTGTTTCAATCAAATAAGTCATATATTATTTCAGTTAAAGAATATAAACCACCAAAAAATAGAAAAGTAGCTAGGATATATGTCATCAAATAATGTAATTTATTATTTTTAAGAATAACAAATCAATATATTTACACAAAAAATTCATAAATATAAATAATTTATGGAGGATTGAAATTTATCAGTACTTAGTATAACATCCATTATTCTCGGAACAACTTTTTGTTTGATTTGCAACATTAATTTGAATGAAAAAAAAATCCGTAATTGTGGGAATATCTTGATTCAAAATCTCATTTTTTGGCATAAGAATCTCCAAATTTTTTACCAATAAAAATAGGATTCGTATTGATGAAATGAATTAAAGTTTAGCATAAAAATCTTCAATTTTTATGGGATATCTCATTAAATTTGATTCATAAAGAAAATAAGTTGTTTCAATCAAATAATTCATATATTATTTCAATTAAAGAATATAAACCACCAAAAAATAGAGAAGATGTTAGGATTTAGGTCATAAAATAATGTAATTTATTATCTACCTTCTTAACTTATAAGAAAATAAGAGACTTGCTTTAAAATGCGACACGTGGCTATTCTCTTCTGCGGCCTTTTGGCTTCTCCTTTCCTCCGATTTTTTCTTTCTTTTTGCTTCTCATTTCCTACGATTTTTTTATTTTCTTTATACGGTCAGGAAGGCACTGGAAGCTCCATTTTAATAATCCCCCTCAAATTCTTCTCCCCGAAACCCTAATTCCCCCACAAATTACGAACCCCCAAATTCTCATCCGGCGAGACTCCCTCAGCCCCCGCCGCCGCGGTAGCAAGAAATCCCACCCCACCGCGTTGACACCTCCGTCTTCTTCATCCAAGAAGAACCCAAGCGGCCCACCAAAGCAAACGAAGCCCCGAGCACCCCCGCTGTTTCCGACCAAATCCCCGACGCTGACAACGCTGAAACGAGCTGTACGACTTAGACGATAGCGTGGACTTCATCCGCCACTGGACTCTGGAATTTACAGAATAAAAATGCTATCTTTATTCTTTTTTTTTTTTTCCCGTTTTGCTTTGTTTATGTGGGTTCTGTTGATGGGATTTTGACAAGATGAATTGTTATTGGTGGTTGGCGGTTGGATTAATTGATCATTGTACTAATTTGGGTCTTCTTCTTTTGTGAATATTTGATTATAATTGTGATTTTTTTCCATTTTTTCATTTTGGGATTGGATTTGTGTGCTGTGGATTGGATGTGCTCTTGATTAAGTAGAAAGAAATTTTCTTGATTTGAGAGTTTAATTGATCATTTGTGTTTTTGTGTGTTTGATCATGAACTTCGTTGATTTTGGGGGTTTGAGCAATTGACCATACGTAGCTCATTGTCTTCATATTTACTTCCTGACTTCATGTGTCTTGGTTGTTAACAGGGTGACCATTTTCCATGAAATGCATTGTTTAAAGCTTGTTTTTGTCTTGTAATCGACGAGATGCTGGAGACGGTCCAGCGAGTTAGACTCGTGCTTCACCAGAAGGAAGAAAGCATGCAGGAGGAGTGCACTAGACCCCAGCGAGCGAGGGTCCCGTAGGCGGGATTCTTTTCAGAGAAACTGTGGCGTGCAGAGTCAATGGTGGCTCTCTCGCTTTAGAAATCATGGTTGTTGATTTCGAGGAGCGGGCTGAGAGCAGTTTGGTCGCAGGCTACAATTTCAGGCCAAGTTTTTCTTCACCTTTTTTTTTGTTTAGTTTAAATTATTTTATCTTTTGATGGACTGAATACGCACAACAATCACGGGCCGATCATCGTCGAGCCTCTCCAGCAACTCGGTGCTCCTGCGGGCCGGCAGCCCTATTGCCACCATCACTTCACGCACGCTACGGGCCCACCTGAGCCATGCGATAGGTAGCATCTCCACAGGAAACGCTTGTAGGTTTGGGGAAATCTCGCATCAGAGACCAGACCACAGGCAGTCGGGCATCAATCGACCGAGTCAGCATCAAGCTGCACCTATTCGGAACCATAGGGTTGGTGTGGTAAAGAGCTTTCATTCTCTCCTTATAAATAAAGCTGCTTGTCATTTTTTTCTTTTCTTTTTTTCCTCTCATTTAATTGCTTCTTTAATACTCTCGTTTAAAATTTGTGTTTTCTGCAGCACCGGCCTTGGTGGCACCTCTTAAAGTCTTCACTTCGTTCAAAATGACACCGATTAGGGGATGTTTTCCAACATGCTTCTTTGCATTTTTTTTTCCTAAACTCTTTCTTACTTGATCGCGATTTTTTTTTCCCATTTATTATTATTTTTATTCATTTCCAAATTTATGTTAATTTATTTTAATAATAGAAATATATAATTTATTTAATTTCAATTCATGCTATTATATTAAGTTCTATCTTACTTTAATTTTTACATTATTTTTATTTTAATTTAATGTATTTCAAGCTCTTATTATTATTATTTAATTTGTTTTAAGTTTACCTATTATATTTTTATTTTACTTTATTAATTCGTTTAGAGTTTATTATAAATGTAGTTGTGTACAATTCTTACACAAGAATCTATATGGCCTATTGGTTTAGTGGGCAGGCTTACCTCATTGAGACCTACGTTCGATTCCTCCCCTTAGCAAAAAAATTTAGTTTGTTCAATAAAGCACTGGAAGGTATAAAGGTAATTTATTAATTATGTAAAATACAAAAAATTGTAAAATTTTCGCAGGTATAGAAGGTGTTGTGCACGCGCCGTTAAGTTGGACGGAATGAGTGAATCGTGCAACAACTACTTAAATACAAAGGGGTGTCATGCGTTTTTTAAAACACAGGGTAGTAACGCGCCTATTTCGTATAACATAGGGGGGTTTGGCGCAATTTACCCTTTTATGAACATGTGTTGCCTTTCAAACACACATCTATACTCAATACAAATTCTGAAAACCTATTTCCCAAACCACCAGACTTTCAATATTCTGATAAATCCATTCATTCACCATCTTCTATCATACCTCCAGTGAATACTACTTCAACTCAACCTACTTCAACTCAACCTACTTCAACCAAACGTACTTCAACTCAACCTATCTTTCAGCCACAAAACTCACCTATTGATTTACATTCTCCACCACCAACAAACAACCAATCATCAGAACCTACTTCACCTTCTCCAACAACTAGACTCAGAAGATCCTCTAGGATCAAAAAACCTCCATCATATCTACAAATTTATAATCACTCCTTGCCACAATCCTCAAGTTCCACTTCTACAACACAATGACACATCTGGAACATCATATCCATTAATCAATTATCTGTCTACTGCATCTCTTTCTCATGATCATGCTTGTTTTACTATTGCAATCACTAATCATGCTGAACCTAAGACATATAAACAAGTTGCCTTAAATCCTCTTTGGCAAGAAGCCATGCATAAAGAAATCTCTACTCTTGAATAGACCAATACATGGAAGCTAGTTGCTTTACCTCCTAATCATCACTGCATAGGTTGCAAATGGGTATATAAAATTAAATACAAACCAGATGGTACAATAGAGAGGTACAAAGCTAGCTGGTAGCCAAAGGCTACACACAAGGGGAAGGTATTGATTATTTTGATATTTTCTCACCTGGTGCAAAAATTACCACTGTCAGAGTTCTTTTATGCATTGTTTCAATAAAAAATTGGCATATTTATCAATTAGATGTTAATAATGCTTTCTTACATGGTAATTTAGATGAAATTGTTTATATGTCCCCTCCCCATGGATACTTAATTGCTGGTGATAACAGAGTATGTCAATTAACAAAAAGTCTATATGGCTTGAAACAAGCCTCTAGACAATGGTTTCAAAAATTGACTACTTGTTTAATTGCATATGGCTTTACATAATCTACCTCCGATAGCTCTTTTTTTGTTTATTCATCATCTGAGTACACTTTAATACTCTTGTTTATGTTGATGACATAATAGTCACAGGTGACAATTTATCTGCTATTTCTGCTATTAAACAACACCTTGACTCTTGTTTCACTATAAAAGATTTGGGAACTTTGAAATACATTCTTGGTTTGGAAATTGCACAATCTAATAAGGGTATTCATTTATGCCAGAGAAAGTATGCATTAGATATTTTAAAAGATACTGGCTATTTAGATTGCAAACCTGCCAAAACTCCTATGGATCCCAATAGAAAATTATCTGCTGACAGTTTAACATGGACTCTATTCCTGTCAATGCTTCTGAGTATAGAATATTAGTAGGTAGATTGCTTTATTTAACCATCACCAGACCGAATTTTACTCACAATATTCATTGTTTAAGTCAGTTTGTTTCATGTCCCACACAACAACATGTGACTGCTGCCAACAGGGTTCTAAGGTATGTTAAGGGCACTATTGGACAAGGTATTCTCTATCCCAGAACTTCCAATTTAATTTTAAAAGGCTATAGTGACAGTGATTGGGCTGGTTGCCCTAATACAAGGAGAAGCATAACTGGTTATGCCTTTTTCATTGGTGATTCTTTGATTTCCTAGAAATCAAATAAACAACCCACTGTCAGCAGGTCTTCTGTAGAAGCAGAATACAGAGCTTTAGCTCTCACTACTTGTGAGGCTCAATGGCTTCTATATCTGCTTAAGGATCTGAATATTACTTACACTGCTCCTCTTTCTTTACTTTCAGATAGCAACTCTGCCATATCTCTTGCCAAAAATCCTGTCCATCATGATAGAACAAAGCACATCGAGATCGACTGCTATTTAATCAGGGAGAAGCTTTCCACAGGAGTCATCTCTCTACACTTTGTTCCTTCAGAAGGCCAGCTAGTAGACATACTTACAAAGGCACTCAGCCCTCAACCTTTTCATAACTACCTCTCCAAGATGAACATTGTAAATATATATGTTCTTCTTGCGGGGGATATTAGACCATAAAATCTATTTGGGCTGCAGTATTAAATTGTAATTTTAGGCTTTAGCATTTGGGCCTGTACACATTTTATATTCAGCCCCTTAACCATTAGGGTTATTATAAATAGATAAACTAGGGTTTTCTTCATTCATTATTAATTTTTCTTTTTCTCGTTTTCTCTCTCGAGCTCACATAACCTCTCTGTAATCTCTCCTCTCTTTTGTTAATTGTTCATCAGTGATAATGAAAATTTGATGTTTTGTTCATATCTCTATTGTAATAATTATCATTGAAATAAATAATTCAATATAGACCCTTAATATTGTCTATCTGCATAACATAATTTATTTACATAACAAAACTTCATAACAAAAAAGGAAATTAAAATTTTTATTTCTTACATATATAATACATTAAAATTTTATATTGCAAAAGTTAAAAATAATATCATTTTTGTTAAGAAAATAATAATTATTAACAAAATAATAATTCTATATTTGAAACTATTATTTTTTTTAATGATAATAAAATTCTATTTTCCTGTTCTATAAAAAAAAATCAAACAAAAAAAATCCTACTAAAAACTTTTGAATAAAAAAAAGTCTTTTTAAAAAGTAAAAACTATCTCTAATGAAACAAAAATTTACTATTAAAAAAAACTCAAATAAGCAAGAAAAATTAAAATCATAAAAAACAACATTATTTAATTAAATAAATATTTTTAATATTATACAATTAAAAAAACTTATTTTTAAAAAAAATAAATTTTTTTTTTTAAATTATATGGGCCGGCTGTGCTAAGCACAGCCGGTAAGTTTCTAGTTATCTAAGAAAACCAAATCAATATATTTACACACAAAATTCATAAATATAAATAATTTATGGAGGATTGGAGTTTATCAATATTTAGTATAATATCCATTATTCTCGGAACAATTTGTTGTTTGATTTGCAACATTAATTTGAATGGAAAAAAATCCATAATTGTTGGGACATCTCAATTCAAATTTTTAATTTTTGCCATAAAAATCTCCAAATTTGTTACCTATAAAAATGAGATTCGTATTTATGAAATGAATTAAATTTTTGCATAAAAATCTCCAAATTTGTTGCCTTAAGAATCTCAATTTTTTTTGGGATATCTCACTTAAATTTATTTCCTAAAGAAAATAAGTTGTTTTAATCAAATAAGTCAAATATTATTTCAATTAAAGAATATAAACCACCAAAAAATAGAAAAGAAGTTAGAATTTAGGTCCTAAAATAATGTAATTTAGTATTATTTAGGAAAAAAAATTAATATATTTACACACAAAATTCATAAATATAAATAATTTATAGAGGATTGGAGTTTATCAATATTTAATACAACATGCATTATTCTCGGAACAATTTTTTATTTGATTTGATACATTAATTTGAATGGTAAAAAATTTCGTAATTGTTGTGATATCTCAATTCAAAATTTCAATTTTTTGGCACAAGAATCTCCAAATTTGTTACCAATAAAAATGAGATTCGTATTTATAAAATGAATTAAATTTTGGCATAAGAATCTCCAAATTTGTTACCTTAATAATCTCCAAATTTGTTACCTTAAGAATCTCCACATTTTTTGGGATATCTCCCTTAAATTTGATTTCTAAAGATTCACATGTGCTTTTTTCAAAATTTCTACTAATAGTAAGTCAACACTTTATTTTTAAAGTCAAAGTTACTTATTTTGTATTTTTCCAACAACCTCTTTATATTACTATAGATATGAATGTTGAACATAAATTTAATATAAAAAAAATGTGATGAATGATTTTAAAAAATAAAGTTTTAAAAAAACAATCACTTTTTTAAGTCTTCGACATTGTTTTTATTTGGAACTAAGTATTTTTAGTCCATTTATATTAATTTGCAGTAATAATTTTTCAAAATAAAATAAAATGTTATATTAAAAACTGTTGTATGCATATATATACAAATATATTTACAATGTGAAATGTCAATATGAGCATGTGATTCTAAAATCATTTATATTTACAAAACCTAACATATCCACGATACCTATATTAAAATCATTTAACATACTTGTAAATAAGTATTGCAAATAAATTAAATAAACAAAGTGAAAAATCTGGAAAGAGTAATAAATAGAAAAGATGAATCCGATCATTATGTGAAAAAA